AATATGCCCTGCCTGTTGATGCAGATAAGTGAAAAGGTGGCTCCAGGTCCCTAGGAGTTAGTGTTTCCCCTTCCTACAGTACCAGTCCAACATTTGCCAAGTTGGTTTCACCCCATTAGAAATGGAGAAGATGCAAAGGCTTGAGACAGATGGAACTAACCTTTTATGTACTTTGAGGGCTTTGATTTTAACATAAGGGGGATATTGATATTTTAACATAGGGGGATCTTGAAACTGTTGTGTTTGATTGTTCTAGTGTCAACATCATAGGTGCTTGCTTGGTTGGTTTGACCTGATTGCTAGTTTTGTATAAAACTCAGATTTGCAGTCTAAATGCCACTTTGAGAGATTGCAGCTATAGAATTTGAACAGATAAAGGGACGAACTACATTTTTGGGTTTTTTTCTCATTGTTTGTACCTGGTTTTTACATGTTCTGGACCCATCTGGTCTTTTAAAGTCGAGACTATTAGCTATTAAAGAACTTCTTAACCAGACAACAATAATGATCAACCCAGTTGGCTGGAGCTGTTCCAAATTTTCCCTGTCTCCAAAAGTGCAGATATCTTGTTCCTGCATTGCAAGGCTGTCTTCAGCTGGCTGTGACTCAGATACAAGTCTTCCAGATGGTGTTCCAGGATACTGTGATGAGACTGCCTTTCTGCTTTCCGATATTTAATCATGGAAAATGAAAGGAATATAGTATCTTGTTTTGGCAACATATCATATGCTCCTATTCCTACTTCTATTACATCTTGCTTACTAGAGCATAGAAGAAAATGACGATAAAAAACTAAAGTGTTTCTTTTCTGCTGGTAAAGTTGAAACCACATGTACAAAAATTTGATGGCAACACTGAATAAATATGCCTAGCTAAAACCAGGAGTTAAATAGTTTATAAGGGTGAGTTGCAAGGAGAAGGGTTAGTTCTCATAATTTCTTTTCTATTTCCATGTTGTTTTTCTGTGGACACAATCTATCAATGTTCAGAAGCCCACAATTTACTGTTTACAAAATCTTTTTAGCAACAGTGGAAATAACCAAAAAGGAATAATATGAAGCCTTTTCTCTTTGGGAAGGGAAAGGGGGAGAAAAGTGTGACTTACTTCACTTGTTATGCGGTACAACATTACTTGAAATCCCTGGGATCTATTTACTTATGTACCTTAAATACTTGGAGTAGAGCATAAAATTAATGCATGTTAAATAAAATTAATTCCATGGTAAATGGAATGCAGTAAAATCACTATCAGATGAACTGGCAGTCTTTGTACATATGTGAATGCTGGGTGTGTTTAAAAAGTTACATGTAACTAATTAAATAAAAGGCAGTAGTCATACAAAAAGCTACCACATCCCTTGATTGGCCTGCTACCAGAGCTGGTGTTCAGTTTTAAATACGGAGTTCAGCCTGCCAGGCAGACTGAATTTTTCCTAGCATATGGAAAGGAGCACCCCAGTTCTACCGGACATTTGTGCTATATTCCTCATACCCAAGAAGCAACCAACTTTCCCCCCCCCCTCTTTGTGATGGGTTATAGTTAAAAAAAGATTTGGCCTTTTTATCCAAGATTTCAGCTTGGCTCGGGTAAACTCAGAGGGAATGATCCTCCCCCTCTACTCGACCCTAGTGAGGCCACATCTGGAGTATTGTGTCCCGTTCTGGACTTATCAGTACAAGAAAGACAAGGAGCTACTGGAAAGGATCCAGTGAAGGGCCATAAAGATGATCAGGGGTCCTGGAACATCTTTCTTATGAGGAGAGATTGCTGGGCTGTTTAAGTCTAGAGAACAGAAGACTGAGAGAAGACTTTATTAATGCATATAAATATCTCAAAGATGGGTGCCAGGAGGTTGGTGCCAGACTCCTTTCAGTGGTGCCCAGCAACAGGATAAGGAACAATGGCCATAAACTAAGACGCGAGAAGTTTCACCTCAACATGCAAAAGAACAACTTTACATTGAGAGTGGCAGAGCTCTAGAATGGGCTGCTCAGACAGGTTGTGGAGTCTCCCTCTCTGGAGATGTTCAAAACCTGCCTGCACACTTTCCTGTGTAACCTGCTTTAGGTAGTACTGCCTTGGACAAGGGGATTGGAATGGATGATCTCCAGAGGTCCCTTCCAACCCCAATGATTTTGTAATTCTGTGATCTGAAGAAGTATTCTCCAATTACTCAACACCTCTAAAAGTCAATCTTGTAGCAAACTGCATGCTAGACCTTGCAGTGAGCTCTGCTCAGATAAGTTTGCTCTTCATACTGACCCTCACGGAAAGCAGAGGTCATCTTGGTGCATTCAGATTCTAAGCGCAGGTTTATAGGTGGACAGGTAAAAGAAGTATTCTCCAACACTATTTCCCAATGTTCTTGTCCAACAGGTACCAAATATGTCATGGATGACAGGAAGGTTTTATCAGTAACTTTTGTATTTACTTGGTTTCCTTGTTCATTGGTATCTTTCTCCCAGTCCTTCTGCTGATGAATCTTTGAAACTGATTATGTTGTTTGTAATGTGTATATGTAGATATACACAAAAAAACCCTGAACCTGAAAACCTCAGTGCAGCAGTGCTGCCTGTCAGGAGAACAAGGTCATGGAGGAGAGGAACCTGGCAAGCTGCCGAAGAGTTAAGGTGGCTGCGGTTCAGAAGGAAGGGCAAAGGCATGAATGTTCTCAGCCAGTGAGCAAAAGTCTTATCTTTCTGCATTTCAGACTGCATTTTTTTTTGTATCTGAAAGTCTATCGCCCAAGCAATGCATTGGGTGCAGCTTTCTCGATGTTATTGTGATAAGTCACGTAATGCTCATATGACACTGAGGAATCCTGGTTTGTGTTGGTACCTCTGACACTGCCTCTGTCATTTATGGATCCTGAAGAAAACGGGGGTTTTGAATCATATCTGTAACTTCTAAAGGTGTGTTGCAATCATTCTTCTGTAAGGAACTTTCTAGCTTAATTCATTACAAAAAATGTACACTAGTATTCTGATATGATCAATTTTCTTGGAGTCTCTGCACTTTCCTTCTTTATAGTGAATCAAAGGAGCTCTGCATGGCACAAAATTGAGCTGCTGCATTGGATGTAAGAGTATGCATTAGGCTAAAGTGGTATTAAGATTCACTGAGTTGTCATTGGTGAACTGGCATCCATCAGTGTTAGCAGCTTGCTTAGAAAGGATGTAATCAGAGCAGCCCTGTAAGGCATGTACTCTCTTCAGTCATTTCTGTGGCACCTATGGCTGTGGAAGGAGGGGGGAGAGGAGTTAGTGTTCTGAGTGGAGCTGTATGGTAATAGACCAGATGAGAGTTTGGGGTTTGTATTGCAGCATTTGGGCTTTGTGAGACCAGTATAATTTTGTTCTCTTACTTTTTAAATCTTGCATGGAAAATAAGAATTGCTTGCATTTAAGTCTAGCTCTATGATACCATCCATAATAAATGCTGGTTAGTTACATGACCAAGAAATAAATTGATATTGTCTTTGCTCTGGAGAACTAAAATTCAGCATATCCAAGTATTTAAATCGCTGCATTATTCTGTTGCATGGCTGTCTGCACCACTGAAATAAAAGAACTGCAGCAACATACCCAGCAAACCTTCAATAAAAACATTTGCTTGTACAGTGCTGTGCTGGATATAGTCCATGAGAATGAAAGCAGTTGGGGCTGTAGTATCTTGTTAAACACATTGTAAACGTTTTTGACAAGAAGCCTGCCCAAATCCAACCACCTCTGGACAGCCAACATGTCAGAGCATTTCCAAGTGAGATATATCATGTTGTCCTGGGCTGACAGCTTTGGATAATCCTCTAATCCAAGTGATTGCTTAAATGTTGCAACCTATTTAGTTTTGCTCATTCCAGGATGACTTGCTGTTGGGGAATCCTCAAGGGTGGTTTTTTGGTTTGGTTTGTTTGCTTGTTTGTTTTTTCCTTAAAATTAATTTATTGGTTGCAGTCTTTTCTTTTTTTTAAAAAAAAAAAAAGATGGCAGCCACATAAATAGATTTAACTCCCACTATCTGGGGTCCAGGCTGGACTTCGGGATGTATCCTGATGCTATATTCCACTGTTAGAGACAGCTCCTGAGCTCTGTTGTTCCTTTGACTTGTGAGATATTTGCTGAGGCTGTCAGAGAGAAGGTGACTTCAAGAAGGCAGTTTGGTATTGGTTTTCTTCTGCGGATACTGAAGCTGTGGCTTGTCCTTTTGTCTGATAAGAGTAGCCTCTAGTCAAGGACTGCCTGCTCTCCGAATATACCTGTCTTGTGTTCCCATTGCAATTGGCACCCCCTTATAATGGGGCCAGGCTGCTTTCCTGTGCTCTATAGAGACATACAGTAGCCAAAGAATGATTGAGAAGCATTTTTCCTTAGCTGTCTGTGTGATAGTAGAGAAAAGTTGTTTTCTTTGCACTCTTGAACCTCAAAAAAATGGTAAGTTGAAAGGCCAGCTTGGAGGATGCTGTGGAGTGGAGGATTTCTGCTAAGAAGGCTTTCCAGTTATTGTTTGTGAAACAGCATCACACCAGGATTGTTGGTTTTGCCCTTGTTTTGGGGTTTGTGCAGAAGGCTGGGCACTGGGACAACGCTTCAGAGTCCTGGTCTGCTTCCTGGCCTCTGCTTCCTAACATGACAGAGAGGGGTTGATGTCACCTGAACGTGGCTTGTGCTGGCACGCCAGTGCTGCTGGCAGCAGAGCAGAGCCCTGCCCTGGGGAGAGTGAGAACAGCCTGGAGCCTGCCCGTACCTTGGGTAACTGGAACCTGCTTGCCCCCTTGTCTGAGTTTTTGGGTTTCTATGTGCTTGTTTAATCCCTTTTGTCGTTGGCCTAGCAAAGTTATCACTTGGGCTCACAAGTCGGAATGCTAAGAAACAAGAGTTGTTGCTCTCCCTTTTCGCCCTCCTTTTCCTGGCTCTACTTTCTATTGTTCTGTGGATGGAGAAACTCCTGCCCCTCATCCTGCAAGAATCACAACCATTTTTTGTCTGTTTGTCTTTCACAGATCAATTTTGTAGCCTGTCAACTCTTTGCACTTCTGGCTGCATTTTGGTTTCGTATTTACTTGGGTCCCAGTCATGCCAGCTCTGCTGTTCGCCATGCATTTGCCACCCTCTTTGGGATATACTTTGCTGTCTTCTGCTTTGGGTGGTGAGTATTTAGTCACCATGTAGAGAAGGCTTGGGTTAAAAGTATTTTTAAACTTCATGTAGGCTTTTCTGGATTACATCGTTTTAGTCTTAAGGCACTTTCTGTGTTATTCTAAACAATTCCCAAACCCTCAAAGTAAAATGAGCTGTGGAAGTATTTGAGTGAAGTGTTTAATCTGTGGTGTTTATTCTGGAAGTTAAAGCCACACCAGTCCGCTGCAAAGATGCCTCTTTTGGAAAAGATGTATTAAGTTTGAATATGCACTTTGAGTCAGGCTGGTCTTTCTTTCAATGAAATATACTGACAATACATCTTGGCATAAATATTAACTTCTGATAGATAGCCAGGCTATAAAGATGTCATTGTGATAATCCATGTTTACTGATACCCTGATATGAAATTCCATTTATGTCATTTGCATGGAAAAATATTTCCTCACTCTGAACTGCCAGCCCTTCCAGGTCACGTAGAAATTATCTAAATACTCACTTTGTTGTCTTCAAGGTATTCCATTCATCTTTTTGTCCTGGTGATGATGAACTATGGCATTATGAATATGGCAAGTATTCCCAACATCCACAGGTGAGCTAATGTGGCTATAAGTCTAGAGACTTTATTTCCCAGTTACTTGCAGGAGCTTTGCTCATTCTGCTACAGAAGCAGCTGTAATTTCAATTTGTGGTTTTTGCATTGATATATTGCATCTCCCTACGAAACTGCTGGCCTCAAAAGTTGGCTTTTGCAGGCTTAATAATTTATGCCCAAACCTCTGGTTTCTTAAACATAATGAAGTCATATTCTCCTTGGTCTTGTGTCTTGAGGATTGCTTTTGATAATCCTTTTTAATGTGTTTTCCCCTTGCTGTTTGGCCTTTAGGTATTTTCCACTTATTCTTGAGTTAGGTAGTTCAAATAAGGTCACTGTGGCAGCTTAAGTTAGTGATCTATGAAATTAAGTCTTGCATTTGATACTGGGCTTTGAGTTTGAGAAGTAGAAAGTACAGAAATGTCATTGCTTTGAAGCAGAGCCTTACAGCATCATCATGAGGAGTTCACCACCATGGGATCTTTCTTTTCCCTATACGAAAGTCTGAGAGGAAGAAAGACACTTTAAGACTCCTGAAGTGCTTTATGAAATGACTGTCTTCCTGGCCCGAAGGCAAAAAGTGCTTTCATATGGAAATAAAAACTACATCTTAGTCATACCTGCTTCTTTCACTTACTAAGAGGAAGTCCATGTGGAAGAACTCTGCTCATCATTGAGCCTTCTCATGTGGGTACCATACTCTCTGTTAAGAGTTCAGCACATGAGAATTTTTAAAATTGTGCAGGTGGAGTCATTTGCTTCCCATTCATCTGCACAAATAAAGACTTCTATTTGTAAAACTGCTACTTTATAGCAGGCTAGAAGGATGAGCTGGCAGTTCATCCAATGTCTTTACTTTTGCACTGGCCCCCCTAACAGCATGCAGTTAATACTGTGGTTTGGGTGTTTTACAGGTGATTTCTGTCTCTATGCTGTGTGGCTGTTTCTGTAACTGCTGCTGAATGCTCACATCCACATCAGTTTAAGCTGGGGAATGGAAACCCTTTCTTCACTTGTCTTCAGGTCCTGGGCTGTCTGAGGATCTGATGCCTGTCCATGTGACGCAGTTCTGGTGTCCCAGCTCTCCATTGAACTGTCTAGTTTGCTTCATGTATCAGTCTATTTCCAAGTATCCATTCACTTCTTACCTTTCCACTATCCTCTTTCTTGCTCGGTTAAATACAGGGAGAAGTTAGCTGTATGAATGGCTGTATCTGCCCCCGCTAGATACTGCAACACTTCCAGCTCTCAGTCCATTCAACTCTTAAATAAGAGACAGTGGTGCTACTGTCCTGCCTGACATAATTTTAGGATCATCTCAAAAACCAGAGTGAATTTGCCACACTCCACTTAAGGAATGCTTCTTCAGTTGGCCACAACGATCTTAATGGTCCTTTCCAACCTAAATGATTCTACGATTCTTCTGGAAGATGGCATATTTCAGCATGCAGAGCTGAAAAGATTAGGCTGTGTCATTATTTGCCTTGATACAAAATCGGGAAAGAGAAAATATCTTGAACTTGAAATATTAGTTTCTGGTACATCTGAGGAAGAGTTGTACCTGTGAATAAAGAACATTTACAGACAAAAAAGGCAGGAGATAACTTCAGTGATACGTGTATGGTAGCGCCTGGTTTCAAATACTTGGGTCAGACATTTCAAAATAATACGTGAGGCTGGAACTCTAAAATTTAAATGCCTGACTCGAAGTGTTCTTATTTCTTCCATTTCCCACCCCCAGTGTGAGGAAACACCTCTGTAATGTTTGAGTTGGGTACACAAAACTATCAGTCCTCTTTGACAGTTTCTGCCAGACCTTGTAACATGGCTTCAGACTTCTTAAAAACCTAATTTGCAAAAGTCAAACTCTGCTTCTAAACAAGCCCCAGATCTATTTGAGTGATTCTAGCTCATGTTGGTACTTGTGTTGGTAACTGTGTATTCTGTATGTTATGTTTTTAGGTACTCCTTTGTTGTAGCTATGGGATACCTCACGTTGTGCCACATAAGCCGAATATACATATTTCATTACGGTATTCTCACTACAGATTTTTCCGGGTGAGTGAGTCTGCGAGCTGGGTCCTGTGTCAATTAGCATTAGTTGAATTCAGTGTGTTTCAAGAATAATTTTTATGTTATCTGTGGAGCGCCTGCAATTTAGTTTCTATTAAGCTTTTTTAAAGGCTTTTTCTTGTTGGTTATTTGGTGTTTTTTTTGTTGTTGCGTTTTGGTTTTGTGGTTTTTGGATTGTTTTTCCGTTTATTTGTTTTTAGGAAGGAAGGAATAAACACTGTGATTTTTTGCACTGATTCATTGTTTCTGCTGTTTTCATGCTAAGCACTCTCTAGTTAGGAAAGTAGACCTTGATTAGCTAGACTTCTCCTAAACTGCTCTAGGTGGAATAAATCTGCACAGTGGCTTGCTGGAGATGAGCGGCACAGCTGGTTCTCTGGTCCCTGATAGTCTGCCCTGAGAGGTGGGGTGAGCTGCTCTCCTCCACCTTCCTAGGCACTGCCATCACTCTGGGTCATTCTTTGCTGTGTTCTGATTTATCTTGATGCCCCCACTGGGAAGGTGTTTCCCACCCCAGGCACTCCAGTGGGTGGGAGGACAAGACTTGAGCAGGGGGTGAGCAACGGAGGAGCTGGGAGGTTCGGTGGCTGGGTAACCCAAGCAGACAGACAAACAGAATCATCTTTCGCTGCTGGTGCTGGGTTTGCGGGTTATCTCACAGAGGTGGATTGTGGCTGATGTTTGAATAGTACAGCTTTTTATATGGCATGCATTTCTGTGGAACAGTGTTCTTCATGTATGGTGTGGTCTCTGATTTAGCTGAAGCAGTAGAGGATGCTTTGCAAAAACACAGCTAACCCTGTACATTGTTTACAAGAGGAAAGTATGCTCTTGCATGATTTGAAAACAATGCGCTAATCTGTATTCCACTTGTTTAATTGAATGTCTGAATACAGAGTAATTAGTAACATACTATGAAAAGCTTCTGTAAGCTGGCACAAGTAGGTTGATGCCTTTTCCAAGCCTCTGTCTTCTTATAGGCATAGAGAAGGAAACCAAAGGTTTTCGCTGTCTGTGTGGGTGGTGGATTTAAGGTTTTAATTGCATTTCAGGGAGTAGGGGCAAAGTTTCTCTAAAACTTTTGAGGTTTAATTTGGGTTTTGGTTTTGTTTTTTTAATTAGAGGAGGGGGCAGAAATGGTAACTCGTGCATTTAGAGAAATTTAGTTCTATATTTTTCTGCAGTTCTTTTACTGTACAAAGGCATGTCCTGAAAGAGCATGACATACCAAGAAGCCTACAAATGAGATTGGAATGCTGTAGCTGTGTGTGTGTATGAGACAGAGAAATGCAAGAAAGCATGCTTTTCTGAGCAGTGTGTTCAGAAATGCACTGTGAGATGTATTAATTGCCTGCTGCTGAAAACATTTAATAAAGATCCAGCTGAGACTGGGGGTGGAAGAACGGGAATGGTGCCTGTTTATAGCAGTTTCTGCTTTCTTGATGAAAATAGAGCTACTCTTCTTTAGTGATGAGCTTGAGGATAGTAAGGGTACTGAACTTACTCTGTTATTTGATTTTGTCCTGATGCTTCAAGATATAAACCAATTCCTAAACTTCAGTCAAATATAAAGCTGCCAAGTAGTAAACAACTGGAAAATGTAGTATGGATATGGGCTACATATTCATGGTGTATTTTGAAAACTAAGACAAAATAAAAATACTGCAGTGGTATCAGTAAAAACTTGCAATCCAAAGTGCTGAAACAAAGGTCAATCTCATAAATCTGTCTTACAACTGGTTTTCTTGAGCTGTAAATTTTATGTGCTCACTGAAACTTTATGCACATACCTAAACAGATGTGATGACCCAGACAAACAAAATATACTCCCTGACCACAGTTTTACCATGTATGAGCAACAACTTAACCCCTTCTTGCTCATTCTCCCATGTTTTATGGTTCCACATCTGTTGCATGTGGTAATAGGGGAGCATTCAAACAGACTCCTGGCTGAAAGGATGGCTTTCAAGCTCTCCCTTAGGACTTCAGAAGAAACTGAGACAGGATCCATGGAGCAATGCCTATTTCCATACAGCCTCACACCCTTTTGGGTGAAGTAGCTGGGGACATACTTTGAGAGGGCAAAGCACTCTATTTAAGGGAATCTTTAAAAGGGAACAAAGGGCCTCTTACCTACTGACTTGTGTTTGAGTCCTCAGTATCCTGTAAGTCCGATACCTAATTGCAAGGGGGGAAGTTTTAATCCACATCAAATAGGCATGTGACCAGTTCTAGTGCTATCAGCTTTGCAATGTCAGTTCCCAAAAGTGATGAGCTAGATGCTAAAGGAGTGTTTCACGGTGTTGGTGCTGAAAGCTGTCATACCTCGTTTGTTCTCTTGACCTGCTTTGTGCACTTAACAGCTTGCATGTATAATCCTTTTGATGTGTGCTTGCAGATGGATTACTGGGGGGGGGGTGGGGGTGGAAGGGGAGGTTCTTTAGTAACAGCTGGTTGTGCTGTTTGTTTGGAGTCCCCCATTTTGGGAACACAGCTTGTAAAATGCAGGTAAAGTTTGGTAGAACAGTGTAACTTTTGAGTCATGTTTTAAGTAAACTGGAAAATGGAGTATCAAACTGTGACTCATCACTTCAAAGTTAAGAAGGAAACTTGTTCACTTCTAATGACTCGTTAATTCTTGCAGCCCACACAAAGGGTAGGCCTGGTCACTGATTCCCACAGTCAAAACTGTACTCGAGCTGCTTGCAGCAATTTTTTGATTTAAGAGGTTTTCATGTATCTGGTAGTACTTTCATGAAAACTCCATTCTTTTATTTTTTTAACTATGTGCCAGGTTTCAATGGAAACCAGTTCCAGTTTGCTACACCTGAATTTCAATTAGTTTTTAAAAATTGTATATGTTGGAACAAATCCAGAGGACGGCCAAGAGAATGATCAGGGGACTGGAGCACCTCCCATATGAAGACAGGCTGAGAAAGTTGGGGCTGTTCCGCCTGGAGAAGAGAAGGCTGCGTGGAGACCTCATAGCAGCCTTCCAGTATCTGAAGGGGGCCTATAGGGATGCTGGGGAGGGACTCTTCATTAGGGACAAGGGGTAATGGGTTAAAACATAAACAGGGGAAGTTTAGATTGGATATAAGGAAGAAATTCTTTCCTGTAAGGGTGGTGAGGCACTGGAATGGGTTGCCCAGGGAAGTTCTGAATGCTCCATCCCTGACAGTGTTCAAGGCCAGGTTGGGCAGAACCTTGGGTGACATGGTTTAGTGTGAGGTGTCCTTGCCCATGGCAGGGGGGTTGGAACGAGATGATCTTAAGGTCCTTTCCAACCCTAACTGTTCTATGATTCTATTTTACCAAATTTTTGTTTCAGTGACATAGTGTAGCAATTTTCTCTTGACTACTTTCTTAAAGAAAACTTAATTTTTGAACACTAATTGTAGAATAACTGAATGCTGTGCTTCTCCTTTAATTCAAATCAATCTTTGAAACATGCATAATTTATTTTGCTTGGTTTGCTGTGGCATTTATACGTTGTACCTAGGAAAACTAAATCCTAACTCTCTCTCTTTCTCTCTCTTATTTCTTCTTCTTTATGCTAAGAGGATTATGCTGGTAAGTTGCCTGGTTTCTATACAACTTTATAAAAATGATAATACTAGCACACAGTTTGGTGGGATTTTTCTTTGTATCACAGGCTCAGACTGAGTACAGTAATATTATGGCTTTAGAGGTAAATTAGTTTAAAATAAATCAAGGGATCTTGATTGGGATTTTTGGAAACTAGTAGTAAACATGGTTTCAATCTAGCAAGCTACATGAACAAATAGAATATGCATGTGATCATCTGGACAGAATTCAGAGGAGCTCCTCATCCATGTGGAAGTTGTATCTGCTTTAATCCTTTGCTTGATTAAGACCATGAATTTTTTTTTGTTTCCTCTTTGAATTCTTCCAGTGTCTAAGCAAAATTTCCTAATACTGCAGCTCATCTGGTGACCATGAGGGAATGATTGTGCATATGCGAGTTTCTTGCCATTCCTTACAGAAAATATCAGTTTGTGAAAATCGCCACACACTGGCATTGCTTTCAATATTCTGTTGGTCTTAGAGAGAACCATCAGGGAGACTTCCCTGCAGATGTCAACTCTTGCTCTTACGTGAACAATTTGGTGGACATCACTTTCCAGAAGGAGTGGACATCTCTTTGTGCTCGCTATATCCCAAATACAGAACAGCAGCAGCATTCTCAGCAAACTGCTTAGAAAGGGATAGTCATTGAAAAAGCCCTCTCAAAAAGTCTTGTAAGCAGATACTTCACCAACAAACATCACTTCAGGCAGTGAATTTTTGTTGGGTGGTTAGTGCTTTCTTGCTGGTTTTTTTTTCCCTCTCAGTGGCTTAGTATCAGCCACAAAAGAAAGAAACAAAAATACAACAGCCTGTTTTCTATGAAGGAAATACATTTGCAGAAGGAAACAAACACAGATATTTTCTGTTACCATGTCAGAACACAGTGCAGAAATACCGACTGGTCCTGCGATTTTAGTTTGTTCTTTTTATTTTGTCTTTTAAATGTGTGAAGTGCAGTGTGTTGTTGCAGGGCATATTTGACAGCTCTCAGTAACTCTGGTCGCAGCAAGTCCCTAGGGGGAGTACAGCAGCACAGGTACAGGGCGAATAAGGGGGGGGGTGGGGGGTGTCAATCTGTTTTCCATGCCTGCTCACTGCTTGGTTGCTCCTCTGGGCATTTGTCCACTTGAAACTGCACTGAGAGCATGGTTTAGTGAGAGGTGTCCCTGCCCATGGCAGTGGGGCTGGAACTAGATGATCTTAAAGTGCTTTCCAACCCAAACCATTCTATGATTCTATGATTTATCACTTACCAGTGATTACACAGAAGCCCTGCAAGAGCTGCAATGTGGGAATTAGCCAAAATTCAAGCAGGCAGTCACTACTAGAGAGCTCTGCACAGCTAGTGTATTCCAGGACGCTTCCCCAGAAGTAAATGCTCTTTCAAGTAAAAT